GCACTTCTGTTGGCAGCTTTTTGCATTGAACACGTGTGTATGCTAGTAGCTTTGGTGAGACTGCAGTCGTGTCCAATTTTTTTTCCCAATGGAAATTAGAACACATTATGTGTCTGACTAACCCCACCAGGACATCACACCGAGCGATAAACACCCGGTGTCATAAAGTGACACCATTCAGACGAGGATCACCTGGGGACAGGTCCCAGAAATGCTGTTCAACCTATAGGCTGGGTTATAATAGGGCCCCCCTCAACAGCCAGGGTGGGGTTTCCAAATAACAAAAAAACTGTGTCCCACATGTGAACATACATTTTTAATTATTAGACATTATGTGTGATTTTCGTTGGCTAAGGAACGGAGCAGATGTGGAGTGACCTGTTTGCTATGAAGTAAGAACCGGGATTAAGTTATTCACTTAATTTTTCTACATACACAGCTCAGTGATTGTTCAAGGGTGTCGAGACCAAGGTAATTGTTATTTTTAAACAATAATACACTGGTCACAGGACATTATGCGAACCAAAATCTGGAATCAAAAGAAGCAATGCAAAAACAAGAGGAGTAAACTTTACAACAATAACACACACAGAGTGGTTAAAAGCAATCACCTGGTACCCAAAATACTAATACAGCAACTAGAGGAGTAACATTTACAACAATAACATAGACAGTGTGGCTAAATGCAATCACCTGGTACTCAAAATATTAATATAGCAACTCGAGGAGTAAACTTTACAACAATAACATAGACAGTGTGGCTAAAAGCAATCACTTGGTACCCAAAATATTAATATAGCTACCAGAGGAGTAACATTTACAACAATAACATAGACAGTGTGGCTAAAAGCAGTCACCTGGTACCAAAAATATTAATACAGCAACTAGAGAAGTAACATTTACAACAGACAGGACAGAATGGTTAAAAGTTGGTACCAAAAAGAATTAATGTAATAACTAGGGGAGTAACTTTTACAACAACTAAGGCAGACTGGTTACAAGTAATTATGTAGTAACAGAAGGCATTAATGTAACAACTAGGGAAACATTTACAATAATATCTAGGACAATGTAGTTAAAAGTGGTGACTTGGTATCAAAAGAGTTAATGTCATAACTAGAGGTTTAACATATTCCACAACTAAGAAAGAATGGTTAAAAATAATTCATGGTAACAAAAGGAATTAATGTAACAGTTTGCCATATCAAGCATCACGGTGGACTGGAAAGAATAGCAGAAAGCATATTACCAACAAAGAGGGGCAGGAGTCAACCAGTATGAAGATGGGCATGAAACAAGATATAAGTGACATCTTGGGTAGGAAAGTGCAACAATGCAGGAAACCTGATGTGAGACTGAGTCTTTTTTTTTTTTTTTTCAGGCAGACGGTGATGAGAGTGACATTTTGAAAAGTACCTGCTACAAGATGATGACAGTTTCCACAGCACTAGGAAATCTACTGAATCAACACTTTCAGCCTCAAACAACACATGATTATATTACTATTCCCCACATGTCTCAAGCATCTCCTTATATTTAAGTTTTGGTCTGTGTTTACTAAAGAAATCTGACAACCACATAAGTATCTTTCATTTACTTTTCTTTCTGACAGCAAGTGGTTTGAAATTTCGTGGCAATTTTTAAGGAAATCAACAATTATTTTTGTACAAAACCTTATGGGACTGAAAGTTTTTGTTTGTTTGTTCTTTAATGAGATCAGCGGAGCTCACTAATCAGCTGTTCTATTAGTGAAAGTAAAGAAAGGGCCCTTTTCGTGCCACATGATGCTCATTGCTCAAATGATATATTTTACAGACCAATCAGCACTCAGCCTCGACAGCCGAAGCGATAAAAGAGGACGTGAAGAAGAAGAATCAGAACTCAATCGGTGATGTGGCAACCCTCAACTCTTGGTCTGACCAGGCCAAAAACACCAGGATGTGTAGTGGAAGGATATCATCATTGTCTTGCTGGGCCATTACATGTCACATAGGGCTCACAGTCTACTCCTCCAGTCCATTCTATCCTAAGCAATCAGTTCACGGATGGAGTCCAGTCCAGAAGCTTTGGCCTCTCTCCTCAACATTTGTCTTAAGGTTTCTTTTGGGCATCCTTGCCTCCTCAATTCTATTATCTCCCATTTTATTGCCTGCCTGGTGATTCTCTGCTGGCTTCTTCTCAGGATGTGTCCAATGAAGCGCCATCTTCTCTGTCTTATAACTCGCTCAGGATGTGTCCAATGTAGTGCCATCTTCTCTGTCTTATAACTCACTCAGGATGTGTCCAATGTAGCGCCATCTTCTCTGTCTTATAACTCACTCAGGATGTGTCCAATGTAGCGCCATCTTCTCTGTCTTATAACTCACTCAGGATGTGTCCAATGTAGCGCCATCATCTCTGTCTTATAACTCACTCAGGATGTGTCCAATGTAGTGCCATCTTCTCTGTCTTATAACTCACTCAGGATGTGTCCAATGTAGTGCCATCTTCTCTGTCTTATAACTCACTCAGGATGTGTCTAATGTAGTGCCATCTTCTCTGTCTTATAACGCACTCAGGATGTGTCCAATGTAGTGCCATCTTCTCTGTCTTATAACTCACTCAGGATGTGTCCAATGTAGTGCCATCTTCTCTGTCTTATAACTCACTCAGGATGTGTCCAATGTAGTGCCATCTTCTCTGTCTTATAACTCACTCAGGATGTGTCCAATGTAGTGCCATCTTCTCTGTCTTATAACTCACTCAGGATGTGTCCAATGTAGTGCCATCTTCTCTGTCTTATAACTCACTCAGGATGTGTCCAATGTAGCGCCATCTTCTGTCTTATAACTCACTCAGGATGTGTCCAATGTAGCGCCATCTTCTCTGTCTTATAACTCACTCAGGATGTGTCCAATGTAGCGCCATCTTCTCTGTCTTATAACTCACTCAGGATGTGTCCAATGTAGCGCCATCTTCTCTGTCTTATAACTCACTCAGGATGTGTCCAATGTAGTGCCATCTTCTCTGTCTTATAACTCACTCAGGATGTGTCCAATGTAGTGCCATCTTCTCTGTCTTATATGTGGAAGTATATTCTACACATATGATTTACAGACCAATCTGCATTGTCCCTTGACACCCGAAGCAGTAAAACAGGAAGTGAAGAAGAAGAATCAGCACTCAATGGGTGAAGTAGCCAACCTGAATTCTCAGTTCAACCAGGCCTAAAATACCAGCAAATGTTGTAGGGGAAGGGGTTTAGCTAAATAGCTGTTTTAAAGCCAAACTGACAGTCATAGAAGTCACCCAAAAAAAAAATGGGTTTTCAGTCCTTGTGGGATGTATTCCATTTAATGTGCCACACTGTTAGAGTTTAATGATTACTCCTTTTACATACATCTCTATATATTTCGAAAAAAATTACACATGTAGATAAATACATTTTAAATTAATTTATTAGTGACCTGTGTAAATGCTGTATAGTTTTATCGGGAATTCTAAGGGGGTCATTATTTTTTTTTAAAGTGTTTCCTAGACAAAAGAGTTAAATCTAATGTTTAGCTGCAGGCAGATGGATGTCTTGGTTAGTTCCACGAAAATCTCCCCACTGACCGCCCACACCCAAACATAGCTCACTTCTGATTGGTCGACCTTCAGTCACTTGACCTTTGTACACAGCTATGGGGGTTCCACAAGGCCGCTGATATCGTGTGTTAAAAATTTATGCATGCCAGCGCTTTGAACACTACAAAAACATTTAGAAACTGGGTCTAACATACAACCCCCTAGAGAGTGCTGCTGCAACCCCCCCCCCCCCCCCCCCAGTGTTCAGTGTGTTTCATACCATTTCTGATCTATTGCATTGAAATAGGACTTAGCACAATGTATTGCCTGGAATACTGAACTGAATCTCGTTAGGCACATTACACCAATATTACAGAGCAACTGTCTGGTCGAGTGGTTACAACGTGCCTGAGACCCGGGTTCGACCCCTGGTAAGGTGGTTGGAATTCTTCTGCTGGGAGCAAAATTAAACATCCCAACCTACACAGTCCATGGCGACAGCACTAGCCATGTGGCCCTAAATCCTCAGGCTCATGATGTCCCGTCTACACCGCCAGTAAGTGTTAAATACAAACAGTAGTGACAGTTTTTTGTTGTTGCTGACAGTTTTGCATTAACGCAGAATGAAACACACTGGGTTTAATTAAATCTGAACTGAGATGGATTTTCCTTTTGAAAACTGACCTTGGCTTCCAGGTCCACCCAGTCTAAAATGGGTACCAGAAAAAGCAACCATGGGAAGTAAAGGGGGCCGGAATGATGTTGATCACATCACCCACTGAATGACAACTTGTCTTTAAAATAGAGGTTCTAGTATCAGTATGCAGTATTGTCATAAAGGGAGTCACCGTGGCTAAGTGGCTAGACGCTTGTCATGGATCGGAAGATTGTGGGTTTGCTCCCTGGTAAAGCCAGACTTTAAAAAAAAAAATGACCTTGGCTATCAGGTCGACCCAGCCTTGAGTGGGTACTGGATGCAGTCCTGGGAAGTAAAGACAGCTGGCCTGATGCTGACCACATCACCCACCTTGTGCCGAATGGTCTATAAAATATAGGTCTAGCATTATATGCCCTATACGCCTAAGGGCGTGGAAAAGGGTCCTTGACTTACTTTACTTTAGTATTCTCCTAAAAAAGGAGCTTTATTTTACTTTCAATCAACAGCCTGAGATGCACAACACAACAAAGCATCTGTGTGGAATAACAACATTGTTTAAACACAACAAAGCACCTGTGTGGAATAACAACATTGTTTAAACACAAAAACGCACCTGTGTGGAATAACAACATTGTTTAAACACAACAAAGCACCTGTGTGGAATAACAACATTGTTTAAACACAAAAAAAGTAAAAAAATGCACTCAACATGAAAGAAAACACCACAAAAAAAATATAAATAGAAAACAACTATCAAGCAGACATAAAGCAGTAGGGCAGCCATGAAAGAACATACTTGGAGTCTAAACGTGTTGTGCTTTCATCTGTAGTGGGTGCATTAATGCACTGGAGTAGATCACAACGTATCTTGCGCAGCAGTGGTGTGCAGTAGCTCTGTCCAATGTGAAGCCTTTCCTCTTTTGTGATGCCATATTCCTACAGGAAAAGAAAGTCATATTTCATGGCCTCATGATCCAGGTTCATCTAAGTGTCATGACCGTATTTGGGTTTGAGAGTCAAGACATAGAAATGACCATGACGATGGTACAGAACCCGTAAACAGCAGGTGACACACAAGATGGTAAAGAACCTATCAACAGCACTTGACACACAAGAGATTGGTACAGAACTCGTAAACAGCACATGACACACAAGATGGCACAGAATTCGTAAACAGCACATGACACACAAGATGGTACAGAACCCGTAAACAGCATGTGACACACAAGATGGTACAGAACCCGTAAACAGCACATGACACACAAGATGGTACAGAACCCGTAAACAGCAGGTGACACACAAGATGGTACAGAACCCGTAAACAGCATGTGACACACAAGATGGTACAGAACCCGTAAACAGCATGTGACACACAAGATGGTACAGAACCCGTAAACAGCATGTGACACACAAGATGGTACAGAACCCGTAAACAGCAGGTGACACACAAGATGGCACAGAACCCGTTAACAGCATGTGACACACAAGATGGCACAGAACCCGTAAACAGCATGTGACACACAAGATGGCACAGAACCCGTAAACAGCATGTGACACACAAAATGGTACAGAACCCGTAAACAGCATGTGACACACAAGATGGTACAGAACCCGTAAACAGCAGGTGACACACAAGATGGTACAGAACCCGTAAACAGCATGTGACACACAAGATGGTACAGAACCCGTAAACAGCAGGTGACACACAAGATGGTACAGAACCCGTAAACAGCAGGTGACACACAAGATGGTACAGAACCCGTAAACAGCATGTGACACACAAGATGGTACAGAACCCGTAAACAGCAGGTGACACACAAGATGGTACAGAACCCGTAAACAGCATGTGACACACAAGATGGCACAGAACCCGTAAACAGCATGTGACACACAAGATGGCACAGAACCCGTAAACAGCATGTGACACACAAAATGGTACAGAACCCGTAAACAGCATGTGACACACAAGATGGTACAGAACCCGTAAACAGCAGGTGACACACAAGATGGTACAGAACCCATAAACAGCATGTGACACACAAGATGGTACAGAACTCGTAAACAGCATGTGACACACAAGATGGTACAGAACCCGTAAACAGCATGTGACACACAAGATGGCACAGAACCCGTAAACAGCATGTGGTACACAAGATGGTACAGAACCCGTAAACAGCATGTGACACACAAGATGGCACAGAACCCGTAAACAGCATGTGACACACAAAATGGTACAGAACCCGTAAACAGCAGGTGACACACAAGATGGTACAGAACCCGTAAACAGCATGTGACACACAAGATGGTACAGAACCCGTAAACAGCATGTGATAAACAAGATGGTACAGAACCCGTAAACAGCAGGTGACACACAAGATGGTACAGAACCCGTAAACAGCAGGTGACACACAAGATGGTACAGAACCCGTAAACAGCAGGTGACACACAAGATGGTACAGAACCCGTAAACAACAGGTGACACGCAAGATGCAAATTTTGGTTGTGCGCGCATGCATGCACACACGTATGCATGCACACAAACAAAATTTAGTCTGCGCAAAGACTAATTCATGCTAATTTTGTTCTGGACACATACTGAGAAAACCTGTAAATAGTATAACTAAAGAGATCTTTCTCTAGTAGCTTCAGGACAACAACAAAACTGGAGGAGATATAAAAACATATGGGGAAGACAATAACAGAGATGAATGCAAAGATATGGAAAGAGCTGCAAGAAATGGCAAAAAGATCGGCATAAGCTTGCTGATGGTAAATGATATTCTAGAACAATGTTGAATTAAGAATCATTATCACAGCACTTGAGACACCCCCACAAGCGCTCCGTCGCCATCTTCAGCAGCAAGTGAAGAGTTAAAATTCTGATAGTACCAATAACTGTCTCATTGTATATCCGTCTGGCCTTTCCCATGAATGTTGAGCATCGGCCAGATCCCCCTGTAACTCCTCGCAGCGCCATTCTCCTCAGACCGTAATGATCTATCTGTTCCTCGGTACTGTTCACTAGCTCCCAAACATCCAGCTCGTCATACATCAGTTCACCACCAAGTGGTGCAGAACTGGCTAGTTTATCTGCCTGCTCATTTCTCAACATACCGGCAACACCTGAAGAAAATATCAAAAGGACACTAACTACCCGGGACCTCCATCCATTGTTACTGAACAGTCGACTCTCCATCCACTGTTACTGAACAGTCGACACTCCATCCACTGTTACTGAACAGTCGACTCTCCATCCATTGTTACTGAACAGTCGACTCTCCATCCATTGCTACTGAACAGTCGACTCTCCATCCACTGTTACTGAACAGTCGACTCTCCATCCACTGTTACTGAACAGTCGACTCTCCATCCACTGTTACTGAACAGTCGTCTCTCCATCCACTGTTACTGAACAGTCGACTCTCCATCCATTGTTACTGAACAGTCGACTCTCCATCCACTGTTACTGAACAGTCGACTCTCCATCCACTGTTACTGAACAGTCAACTCTCCATCCACTGTTACTGAACAGTCGACTCTCCATCCATTGTTACTGAAGTCGACTCTCCATCCACTGTTACTGAACAGTCGACTCTCCATCCACTGTTACTGAACAGTCAACTCTCCATCCACTGTTACTAAACAAACAGTCGACTCTCCATCCATTGTTACTGAACAGCCGTCTCTCCATCCACAGTTACTGAACAGTCGACTCTCCATCCACTGTTACTGAACAGTCGACTCTCCATCCACTGTTACTGAACAGTCGACTCTCCATCCACTGTTACTGAACAGTCAACTCTCCATCCACTGTTACTGAACAGTCGACTCTCCATCCGCTGTTACTGAACAGTCGACTATCCATCCACTGTTACTGAACAGTCGACTCTCCATCCACTGTTACTGAACAGTCAACTCTCCATCCACTGTTACTGAACAGTCGACTCTCCATCCACTGTTACTGAACAGTCGACTCTCTATCCACTGTTACTGAACAGTCGACACTCCATCCACTGTTACTGAACAGTCGACTCTCCATCCATTGTTACTGAACAGTCGACTCTCCATCCACTGTTACTGAACAGTCGACTCTCCATCCACAGTTACTGAACAGTCGACTCTCCATCCACAGTTACTGAACAGTCGACTCTCCATCCACAGTTACTGAACAGTCGACTCTCCATCCACTGTTACTGAACAGTCGACTCTCCATCCACAGTTACTGAACAGTCGACTCTCCATCCACTGTTACTGAACAGTCGACTCTCCATCCATTGTTACTAAACAGTCGACTCTCCATCCATTGTTACTGAACAGTCGACTCTCCATCCACTGTTACTGAACAGTCGACTCTCCATCCACTGTTACTAAACAGTCGACTCTCCATCCACTGTTAAAACCAGTGCCAGGCAGTTGGCTGCCAAATCATTCACAGCTGGGATATTATTATTTATTATATATTACAAATAAGATCCATCGTGGTATAGTGGCTAGACGCTCGCCTGCAGATTGGAAGGTCATGTGCTCAGGTCCTGACAGAGCCAGACCTGAAAAAAAAAAAAAAAAAAAAACTGCCCTTGGCTCCCAGGTCGACCCATCCTTAAATAGGTACCAGCTACAGTTCTGGGAAGTAAAGGCGGCCGGCGTAATGTTGCCAACATCAGCCACTGGGTGCCGATTGTTCTACAAAAATATAGGTCTAGCCTTATATGCATGAAGGCAAGGAAAAAGTTCTTTAATTTACTCACATATTATAAATAAAATAGAAAATCTCCAGTCCTCCTAGATAGACCCAAATACAACATATCAAGGCAAAAGTTTTGGCCAAGAGAAACATAGGTGCAAGTCAAACTTTACGGCTCACTGAGTGAATTACAAAAGACAGTAAAGTTCATACCAGAGACAACATTGCAGATATAGATAATCTATTTCAAGCGAACGAAAGAAGAAGAAGAAAAAGAAGAAGAAGAAAAAATATTATAAAATATCTACTGTTGTGGATCCCAACTCAAGACATTTGAGCCAGAAACACAAGACAGGAGGGCCTAAAAAGGAGGCAAGTAGGTTGAGATTTCTCACCTGAGGCACAATGATGTCTGCTAGAGCTTTGGAACACATGAACAGCTCCTGGGCTCTCTTGAACTGTAGAGTTTTCTGGTTGTGTTGCAGGTCATACTTGATGCAGTCGTAAAATGTCTAAAGTAAATAAGGATTCTTTTTTATGCCTTTAGGTGTATAGGGCATATAGGGCTAGACCTATATTTTATAGACCGATCGGCGCAAGAATTAGTGATGTGGTCAGCATCACACAGGCCGCTTTTACTTCCTGGGACTGCATTCGGTACCCACTCAAGGCTGGTTTTACCTGGAAGCCAGGTAATTTTTTTTTAAAGTCCGGCTCCAGGGAGTGAACCCACGACCTTCAAATCTGTGGCGAGCATCTAGCCGCTCCACCACGAATATATATATATATATATATATATATATATATATATATATATATATATATATATATATATATATATATATATATATATATATATATAATATATATATATATATATATATATATATATATATATATATATATATATATATATATATATATATATAAAATCAATATCTTGTCAATTGAGACAAGAGACATAATTCTTAACAGGTACATAAATCTTATCCTGAAATATGGAAGTGAATGCAGAGATGTGGCTTTACAGACAAATGATGAGAATACACTGGACAGATAAAAAGAGTCACGAAGACAATGAAGATGTCTTGACAGAAACTAACTCAGGAAAAGAACTGGTTACTCACATCGGAAAGAGACAATCTATATTCTTTGCTCATGTCATCAGAAGGAGAAAACTGGGGTACATTGCAACAGTAGAAAAGCTGGAGGGGAAGACAGGCAGAGGGAGACCGAGAGAGAAGATTAACGACAGTTTGACAGCATGGCATGGAGAATTATCTATATCAGATAAAGGTAAAGTTGGGAGATGTGAACCAGCGTCATTGCACACGGTTATAAACCATAAGTGCTCTGCCACCAGTATGGACAGCTGATAAGAAATTGTCCGCCTGTGTCACTGTCCGACGTTCCTCCATTTACCCCAGAGCGTTAACTCTGGTACCCATTACCTAGAGGCTAGGTGAACCCCGGGAACCACACAGTTTCGAACACTGGCCGTGGGCTGCAGCGAGTCGCAGCTGGATTTGAAAGCGAGTCTCCTATCGACTGCACTAACGCAGCTCCCGTATTTATGTCAGAGCTGACTGAAAGTGTACGAGACAGAAGGTTGTGGACAGACATGAAAAAGCCACAGGGCATGGACTTTAAGAAGAACTATGTATGTGTGTGTATGTATATATATATTATAGAGAGAGACAGAGAGAGAGAGAAAGAAAGAAAGAAAGAAAGAAAGAAAGAAAGAAAGAAAGAAAGAAAGAAAGAAAGAAAGAAAGAAAGAAAGAAAGAAAGAAAGAAAGAAAGAAAGAAAGAAAGAAAGAAAGAAAGAAAGAAAGAAAGAAAGAAAGAAAGAAAGAAAGAAAGAAAGAAAGAAAGAAAGAAAGAAAGAAAGAAAGAAAGAATAAGAGAGACAGATAGACATTGTATATATTATGTTCACTTGGTTAATAGTTAGAAGAAGTGATATCATGGCGCTTGAGCACCATGTCTTCCCTAACAACTATGAAAGTACACAAAAGCTAAATACCCTCCACATTATTGGCTACCATGTCCCAACTGATTAACTTAATTTAAGAATCAACATCATTATATTCTGGGCAAAAATGATAGTTGTTTCATCTCTGGCATAAAATGCAGCAAGACGCAGATAGTGATATAAAAAGTACATACTCCAGTATGTCTGCAGGCTTTTGGTCATGTTAACAGAAGGAGAAACAATGGAGTACAGTGTGATGGTAGGAAAGTTGGAGGTGAAAATAAGCAGACGGGAGATCAAGAGAGAAGATGCTGGACAGTTTGACATCATGGCATGGAAGATCATCAGTGTCAGAACTGACTGCAAGTACATGAGACAGTAGGTTGTGGATAAATATGACTACCAACACAACACGGCATGGACCAGAAGAAGAAAAAAGACACCAGGGTCTCCAGGACGAGAACTAAATTAACTCCCAGAAAGCCTGTGTGTTACTGTGGCCCTTTGGGGAAGGCAAATAATAGTAATGTCAAGCCTACCAGGCATTTAAAGAAAAGTGACACTAGATATAGCTGGTCATGGGGCTGGTTTCCCATTGCTGTTAAAAGCTTCACTTACTTAAACTATTATCATCATTAGGTGCCTTGTTGGCAGGCAATCATGCCTCTCTCTTGTCTTTGATCTTTAACAGCATGTATCAGTCCGTGTGCTGACATCCCTCCATGACATGATAAAAGGCTGTCAAGAATCTTCTTGCGTTGTCTTCCTCTGTCTCTCTTTCCAAAGATCTTTTCAGCGGTCACAACATGTTCCAATTTCCTTCTTCTCATAACATTACCAAACAATGATGACAATCTTTTGCTGATGTTTGTGATAAGCTGTCTTCAAGCCTTCACCTATTGCAAAATATCTGGGTTGCTCATTTTGACTGTTCAATGAATTCTTATTATTCTTCTGTAAAACCACGCCTCCAAGGTCTCAAGAATTTGTTTTGCTAGCTTATTAATTGTCCAGGATTCACGGCCATATGTTAAAACTGGCTCTATAGGCTAACTTACAATAAACAAATCTAAGGTTTAGCATGACTTAGAAAGGCACTTATGTTCCATTGAGGGATAAAGGCTAGAAGAGAAGAAATTGAAGAAACTGATCTAAAATGTTTACCTCGGGATTTCAGTTCCATTTTCAAACACCGGATTCGAGCTGTGATTTCTTTTATCATCTCATGGACTCGGACACACATCTGGTAGGGGTTCTTGACAAACTGCATGGCGTTGACCAGCGATATACTGTTTGTGGCAGCCAGCTTGTTGATATAAAATCAATGTGTCATTAAGATGTACCAGAGTTATGAAACAAATTTTCTTAATATTTATCATACGGGGAGTCAGTTAAATGATTGGTGCTGTGTTCTTAACAATTATTGGCCTCAACTGTCACAACAAAATGGGAAAGAAATGTACTGAGGAAATAAGGATGTCTAAAAGAAACCCGAAGACGAACAATGATGAGGCCAAAGATGCCTCTAATTTTAACACATCTCTCAGAAAATTTAGTAACCATCAAGCTCAGAGGGTCAAGGGGAGAGTATTAGCAATCAGAATTAGGAATGTGTGTCTGGGCAAGTTGAATGACCTTTAGAGCATCATCATCATTATGTGCACTGCCAACTGGCGCAGGCGCTCATGCGTCTCCACAGATCATGATCTCTGGTTGCCTGAAACAGCTCTTTTGATGATATCCCTCCATGCCATTGTTTCAGCCCATCCAGCATCATCTCCCCTTTTCAACTGATCTTTCCAGTTGTCACGATTTTCTCCAATGTGTCTCTTCTCATTATGTGGCCAAAGAACAGTGTCTGACTCTTTCTTATTGCTGTATATAGAGATCTAGTTTCATTAGCTTCTTTCAAGCAATTGATGTTAGTTACTCTGGCCCTCTAAGGTATATTTAACCTTCGTCTCAGAAACCACATCTCTGCTGCTTCCAAATTCTTCCTAATTTGTTCAAGAACATTCCAAGATTCACTGCCATGCAGCAGAAAAAGTTCTATGTAACATTTTAGCACCATCTTTCTGGCGTTAAATGAGAGCGATTTATTGCATAGAAATTTTTACCAGAGCATGGCACATAACTAATTCATATAAGACAAACAGTGAATAAATACGATCATGTCTGAATGTACATTCACCAGAACACTCATCAATACCTTCTGATAATCGTCCTCTGTAAAGTCCCTGTCCTGATTAAAGATATCCTTTAATTTCTCTTTGACACTGAAACAAACAAGTTCAGTGTCCTAAATACAGCACAAACCCCGATGTTTCTTCTAACTATAAACAAAATCACGCTATCATCATCACGTGGCAAGTCCTCTGCAGGACGTCACAGCTGCCTGAAAGAAACTGTCTCTCACAAGAGCTCCCGCCTCAGGCACTTTCATACTCAAGATGTTAACTTATCCTGTGCCCATCTTTGTGCTGGTTAGCTCCTGCCCCCCTTCCTGGCATGCCTTCTGCTACTATTCTTTACGATATGCCGTAGCACCTGATATAGAGAAAATATTTCAGTTTCCGAGACAGGATGAAGTTTACTAGCCAATCTTCCTTGATGTTCACATCTTTTAGGATGTTAATATTTCTTTTCTTCTTGGTCAAGGTATTCTGAGAATCTTTCTATACTATTTCACTTCAAAACCCCTTTTTTCTTTCTTAATTCTTTCCGTCCCAAGGAACGTATCATACTTTTATAAGTTCCTACCTAGAAGCCTAATGAACGCAAGATGCGTTGATTAATGTTCCTTTCTACTACCCCTTGGGTCTCTGATGCTAAACCCCCAGGAACTGAAAGAGTTAATGACTGAGAGACAAGAACACTATAATTAAGGATTATTCAAAATAATATTTTCCTGTTGTGAATGTAAATAATGTAAATACAACAATTTATTGAACAATTTATTGTCTGGTATATTCCAATTATCTTGCTGGCTGCACAGTACAGAATTTACATCAATAAACAAGGAAGCATATAAATGAATCTCCTACTGAAATACACACAGTCCAAGGTTAAATTGTAAATTCTCCCCGTGTGAGCTGAGGGGTCCCAATGTGTTGACAACAAGAATAGACCCACTAGCCTACCCAAAAACATGTCGAAAGAGTCAATTAACTGGGAGCTTCATTCAAAGTCAGAGTGCATCTGCCTGAGATGCAAGGAACCAACAGTCTGCATTCCCATGATTCAGATATGTAAAACAGATGTGCATGCAACACTCAGGTTCTGGAACAGGACTAGAGTCTACAAATGAACAAACAACTAGAACTTTCAGCTAGAGTTTACAGCCGGTGAACACAAGAAGAGGAAACCGTAAATTTCACCCTGGAAGTCTAAGATTAACCGCATGATTCTTTTGTTTAAATAACACAAGGCTGCCCATTCTTACTCGAACCGCTCTAGTGCATCTCAAAATATGGTGATTATTTTACAAACAGAACTGATATCTTTTGACAAATAATGAAGCAATTCGAATAAAGAAGAGCAATATACATAATTTGAGCCAGACTTTTTCAAAAATTACCTTGGCTCCCAGGTCGACCCAGCCTTGAGTGGGTCCTGGGTGCAGTCCCGGTAAGTAAAGGCGGCCGGCGTGATGCTAACCACACCACCCATCTTGTGCCGACTGGTCTATAAAAATATAGGTCTAGCCCTATATGCCTTAAGGCGTGGAAAAGGCTCCTTAACTTTTTGTTTAACTTATATAGATAATTTCATTAGCATCAACTTACACTATCTGGTATTTACTTGTATTGGACTCTCCATCCAAAAGTCCATTTGTGTTGGCACTTTTCACCATCTGCACTACAATAGGTGTCAACTCCCCTTCTAACGCAAGCAGGCCCTAGATTTGGAAACAAAATATAAATATTACAACACAGCTTTATACAAGTAAAAAATTAAAAGAACAAAGTTCCCTTAGATAGGACAGCAATGGAAGGCTCATTTCTGGTGTGAGGTATGAGCAGATTTATTTGAGGTTCGTGACATCTCCACTGAAGGGGCAGATGGAAATGTTGTAGGCTTTATTCCTCAGCCAATGACAATATATTTACATTATTAATTTAAATGCTGGAGGCTAGAGATGGATTTATTCCTCAGATGATGATATTATAATTAAATTATTAATGGAAATGTAGGCTAGTGATTTTAATTATTCCTTAGATAATGACATTTTAATTACATTATTAATTTAAATGTTGTAGGCTAAAGATTGTCTTTACTCCCCAGATTATGATATTATAATTATGTTATTTATTCCACAGTAACATTCATTATTAGTTCCCCCAAAAATTGATGCAAATAGGACTGGCCACAGGAGCTAGTAAACACTCAATGTTCAGAAAGAAAAAAAAACCCAGCAAACATATAATCAGACTACAAGAGTCATGAATTAGTACTCAAACAGTCACTCCTAAATGCATGGCAAGTTGACTGGTATTGAATTATTACCATTTCAAGGATAGACCAGAGCAAGTTTTTAATTCTATGCCTTAGAACAGGTCACAGTCGACTTTGCAGCTACATGTACACACAATTTAAAATCGGCGAATGAGCCATGTGCACATGTGGATTGGCACCTGAGACAACAGATCATGTCCTCCAAGACTGTCCCAGATACAACATATCAATGCAAAACTTGTGGCCAAGAGAAACGTCAGTGCAAGTCAAACTTTACGGGTCGCTGAGTGAATTACAAAAGACAGTGAAGTTCGTACTAGAGACAACATTGCAGATTTAGATAATCTATTCCAAACCAACAAAAGAAGAAGAAGAAGAAGAAGACTTGTATTGAATAAAACAAAGTATGAAATATTTAAATCTGAATTCTCATTTCCACCTTTGTGAATGCTGCTGCTGTCATTTGGACTCGTCCCTCGTCCGATGCATAAATTTTGAGATCATGTCTGAAGGTGCTGTGTAGACGGAGAAACCCGAGGCCTGGTGCCTCAAACTGACCTGTAGAAATGAAACACTGAAATGAAATGTTTGAACAAGACAAACATAGCAAATCTTAACCTAGGAGAGTGGATCAAACATAGAGGTTGAGGTCTGAACAACAGATCAACATCATCGCACACGGGTAGCAACCCATAAGTGCTCCTATCTTCTTCTAACTCAAGTCTGAGTCCAAAGAAGCTTAGCACAGTGCACATGCTCTGTAGCACCGGCAGCGATCCTGAAATACTTTGGGTAGATTTTTAACTCAAAATTTGTGCCGGGGCAGCGCCGTTAGGCTACTTTTTTCAACTTCCAACTGCCAAGGGAATTTTTACATGTGCAACTATGCACACGGGCGTCCAATCTCCCTACCAGGGGGGGGGAATTACTAGAAGTCCAAGTCCACGTGAAAAAATCCCAGCGCTTTAAGGGGTTTGACTCCGGAGTCTCTAGCACTTGAGGCGGACACCATGCCTCAAGACCACACAGCCCCAATATAGCATTCTGGGATGATGACCAACTAACAACAACAACAACTAAGAAGCACTGTGTAATAAGCAATTTAAAAAAAAAAATCTGCAGTTGGAAATTTGAAAGGTGCCAGACCACTGTCTTCAGGTTAATTTGTAACACTTGGGCAAAAACTGTACGTACTACTTCAAGTGTGTGGTAAGACAGCTCGGGAATTAAACCACAGGGCTAATGCAGTTGCCATGAACTATACACATTCGGAATTTATTTCTGTACCCGTTCAACAACAACAAAATCTCCTTCCTTTACTGAGGAATGAATCGAGGTCACCTGCATGAGAGCCCATCAGTCTAACCACTTGGTCAGCTAGTTAGTCAGTTAGTCTTTTCTCTTGAGCCTTAGGCAGCACTTAGGGCAGAAGTCATAGCTCTCCATGTCTGGCGGTTCGTTGCCACCTGATTTAGGTCTTGAATATTCATTAGTCCCATATCTGAGCCTTCCCTGATGATGGTTCTCCGCAGAGTCTCTCTTGGTCTTCCCCGTTTTTCGTTTCCTTTTCGGTGTCCATATGAAGGCTTGATGGGGGGAGTCTTGTCTTATCCATTCTGAGTGCCAGGTCGATGTAATTCCAGAGGCGCTTTCTTATAAAATTTGATACATTATGTTGCTTAGTCTGTTGTCTTATTTGTTCACTGGATATGAAATCTGTCCAGAGGAGATTCAGTATTCTTCTAAGACATCTGTTCTCAAAACTGTCTAAATTTTTATCAAGAGCTACTGTTGCTTTCCAACTCTTGCATCCATAAGTTAGCACTGGAATCACACAAGCGTTGAAGATCTTAAGTTTTATGTGTTTGCTGAGTGTCTTTGACTTCCAGATGTTTGACAGTTTATAAAGGTACTAGATGACGGGGCGATTCTAAATGATATTTCTGGCGCTGAATCCCCCGAGGATGTCATCTTACTCCCTGAGTATGTGAAGCTGTCTACTTTTCCAAGAATGTGATTGTTTTCTTTGATGTTCTCTGAACTACTGGTAAGATCAATACTTTTTGTTTTTGTTGTGTTCATTTGGAGACCAATTTGTCCTGAAAAATTTATTGTCTGTTATCTCTTGGATATCTGGGTGCGCTGAACTCAAAAGCACTATGTCATCAGCAAAGTCAAGGTCTTCTAAAATGTTGTCAACCCATTTGATACCCATATTTGTGTTGTTTGTGCATTTCCGCATGACTTTAAATGACTACTATTCCAAAGAGCATCGATGATAGGACACAGTCTTGTTTCACCCCTGTTTGCCCTGGAAACCAGTCAGAGTTGCAAAATTCTGTTCTTACACTGCAACGTGTTTCACTGTATAAAGATTTTATGATGATGAATTTGGTAGGAAAACCAAAGATTTTTTTTAAAGTGTAGGATGGCGGATACTGTCAAAGGCATTTTGAAAGTCGACAAAGTTGATGATTAATCGCGAATGAAATTATACGAATTCTTCAATGATCAGCTAGCCCTTAGCTAATATAACTGCACTTCCCTGTGAGGGTTCAAGGGCCCCATTGTAGGGACAACAAGAATAGACCCACTGCCTCCCCAAAATCATGTCGCAAGAGTCGACTAATTGGGAGCTTTCTTCGAAGTCAGAGTACATCTGCCTGAGAGGCAAGGAACCAACAGTCTGCATACAAATGAGTCAAACTTGTGAAACAGATGTGCATGCAACACTCCGTTTCTGGAACAGGACTTGAGTCCAGAAGTAGACAAACAAGGAGAACTTTCATCTGGAGTTAACAGTCGGTGAACACGAAGAAAGGGAACAAAACTGTGCTATACAGCCAGCTGAAAGAGGTTTCTAGGGTTGGATTCTTGCCTAAATAGTGGCTCTTTGAGTCATTGGCTGTTAATCTTACAGAACGCAGTTTTGGAGGGGGGAAATTTTAAAACAAAGACTCTCACATTATTTGGCCAAACACAAATGAAGAAACACATATTTTCTTAGTAGTAACAAGGTTATGATATCTCATACTGAAACAGGATAAATGCACCTCCTTCCTTCTGCTAGCCTATGAAAAACTGCAGCCACCAAGTGCCAACTGGTCTATAAAATATAGGTCTAGCCCTATATGCCCAGTTCGCCTAAAAGCATGGAAAAGGGTCCTTTACTTACTTTTACATACTTTACACAACATAACTGTGCTATACTGGTAAACAACTCAACGGGGTTTCCAAGATTTTTAGCCTTTGATTCTCATCCTTGAGATGTTAATCATACAGAATGCAAATCTGAAAGGGAAAACTTAAAAAAAAAAAAAACAATACCACACGTGACGCATCTTATCTGAGACGCTGGCAATCACAAGGAGTTAACAGAGCCTAAACTTATCAGTATGTCACATGATGATGATGATGACAATTTTTTTTTTCAATGGAGATCTTGCCAAAAAGTAAGGACATTTTATGCTTAGATTTTCTGAATATAGAGATACCGAACCTTGGCCTCCAGGATACAAGGTGCGAAATGCCTTGCCAAGATTTTCTGCTTGTATTCGACCAGCAGGAGTCAGTTCTCCTCCCCATTTGAGAATCAGCACCAATGAAGGATCCCTTGGAGTGTCGTCTGTTGAGGTAGAAAACAAATATAAGGGTTACAGTTACACACCAGTCTCTGCCTGAAACAATACATACAGCTGGAGGTCTGTCCTAATGTACTGACAGTGTAAGGGAACTTATAGAAATAAAATGGGAACAGACACAAGTTACCGGCTTATACACCTGCATATATACTACACTGTCGTGCCTCCAATTCATGGCTCTATGGCTCAAACAACCTAAAAGTTCATGCATCAAACATAATAGTGACTGATAACTCAGTCATGCAGAGTATTTACCAACCAACCAAAGCTACATTATCAATCAAACCAGAATTATCCCCCCCCCCCCCTCTCTCTCTCTCTCTCTCTGCTGACCTGTTTTTAACACCCCTGACCTCATGTTTGTCATAAAAATATGTAGAATCTCTCATTTCACAATATCCACATTACCATAAAGTGCCCTGCCAGAAGGCATATGTGCTCATGTCTCTCCACAGATCTCCATCCCTAGTATTTTGAATCAATTCCACTGATGATATTCCAATACGTCAGTGTTTCCAAACTGTGTGCCACGGCGCCCCTGAGAGCCGCGACCTCTTCACAGAGGTGCCACAAAATATTTGAAGATCCACTAATTTTTTTTTAAAATCTCTTACATAAGAATAGTCATACTTTTACTTAGGTTAGGGCGCCGTGGAAACATTCTAAATTAAAAAAAGCCCCACAACTAAGAAAAGTTTGGGAAACACTGCACTAGGCCATCACTTCGGGCATATTCAAGCTTGTTCCTCTTGGTCTGCCTGTCTTTTCTACTGCTGGTCTTTCCAGTCATCACAATGTGCTCCAGTGCCTCTCTTTTCATCACACAACCCAAGAACACCAACTGCCTCTATCTTACAGCTGTTTCCCACCACCAACAAATTATGACGCTCTGTTTTGAAGTCTATGTGATAATCTGGTTGGAACTACTGTTTCTTGCCTATTAATTATTGCTTCACAATAGCAATAATATACATTTTGTAATTATAAAGTGAAAAATGGCAAATGTAAAGTTGGGAGGACAAAGTTAGCTTCCCCTTTCAATGACTTTCTGTTAGCACTTCCTACTTCCTTTTCAAATAAAGACACATGATGATCGGATTTCTGTCAGCTCATATGACTTAGTTTACCCTAGTAGGTGGTCATAAGTGAAGTCATCATTGTGTGTTTATGATTCCCTCTGTATACTATCTGTGTCTGAGGTCTGTCTTCTTACTTGGAATCCTAACTAGCCTCTTGGGAAGTAGTAGTGAAGCTTACCTCAGAACCACAGTATGTAGACTGCACATAGTGCACTCGGTAAACCAAATTAATTCCACGCTGCAATGTATAATTAAATTTTCTTCTGGCTTAACCCATCTTTCGCTCTCCCTTTGTTCCCCAACCCCTCTATCACTAATTCTCAATGACATATTATTACAATTTATTTACACTTAACCTCAAATTATTTCAGCAAAAAATAATGTTTTACAGTGTCTATAATAATCTGCCTTCAAGTGTCTTCTAGAATATGTAACATAATCAGTCACATTACATAAAAATTACATGCAACATACCACATTTCAAATAGACATTTAAGAAGCACAGCCAAATACCTTGGAGACTTAAGTTTAACTTCTCTATAAAATTCTTTCCAAGATGAGCAAAGTAATAAACTACAACCACTATAATCTTAATAATCATTCGACCTTAACATTATTCAGTAAACTCTAAGAAAAGTAAAATAAGTAATCAAGTACTGATCTGTCTATACACAACATACTGCTGGCACCATACACCCATTACTTTACAAGATATGGACATGAGCCTCTTACTTTTTACATAATATTATTAACTTTACTATTAGTTGATTATTTTTTTTTAATAATGTAACCTATAAGGCTAATATATAACTTTAACCATAATAATTAATGATGCTCTAATAAAAAATTATCAATATAGTCAGTTAAGGTCAATAAATTAAGACAGACATGCAACAGAAATGTTTTGGATGCCTTTATACCATTTTTAAAAAATCAGTCTAGTTAAAGTATGTGTGTGCTACTAGGTCCCTAAAGTATGCGTGTGCTACTGGGTCCCTAAAGTATGCGTGTGCTACTAGGTCCCTAAAGTATATGTGTGCTACTAGGTCGCTAAAGTATGTGTGTGCTACTAGGTCCCTAAAGTATGCGTGTGCTACTGGGTCCCTAAAGTATGTGTGTGCTACTGGGTCCCTAAAGTATGTGTGTGCTACTAGGTCCCTAAAGTATGTGTGTGCTACTAGGTCCCTAAAGTATGCGTGTGCTACTGGGTCCCTAAAGTATGTGTGTGCTACTAGGTCCCTAAAGTATGTGTGTGCTACTAGGTCCCTAAAGTATGGGTGTGCTACTAGGTCCCTAAAGTATGCGTCTGCTACTGGGTCCCTAAAGTATGTGTGTGCTACTAGGTCCCTAAAGTATGTGTGTGCTACTAGGTCCCTAAAGTATGTGTGTGCTACTAGGTCCCTAAAGTATGTGTGTGCTACTGGGTCCCTAAAGTATGCGTGTGCTACTGGGCCCCTAAAGTATGTGTGTGCTACTAGGTCCCTAAAGTATGCGTGTGCTACTAGGTCCCTAAAGTATGTGTGTGCTACTAGGCCCCTAAAGTATGTGTGTGCTACTAGGTCCCTAAAGTATGTGTGTGCTACTAGGTCCCTAAAGTATGTGTGTGCTACTGGGTCCCTAAAGTATGTGTGTGCTACTGGGTCCCTAAAGTATGTGTGTGCTACTAGGTCCCTAAAGTATGTGTGTACTACTGGGTCCCTAAAGTATGGGTGTGCTACTAGGTCCCTAAAGTATGCGTCTGCTACTGGGTCCCTAAAGTATGCGTGTGCTACTAGGTCCCTAAAGTATGGGTGTGCTACTGGGTCCCTAAAGTATGTGTGTGCTACTAGGTCCCTAAAGTATGTGTGTGCTACTAGGTCCCTAAAGTATGTGTGTGCTACTGGGTCCCTAAAGTATGCGTGTGCTACTAGGTCCCTAAAGTATGTGTGTGCTACTGGGTCCCTAAAGTATGTGTGTGCTCCTAGGTCCCAAAAGTATGTGTGTGCTACTAGGTCCCTAAAGTATGTGTGTGCTACTGAGTCCCTAAAGTATGCGTGTGCTACTAGGTCCCTAAAGTATGCATGTGCTACTGGGTCCCTAAAGTATGTGTGTGCTACTGGGTCCCTAAAGTATGTGTGTGCTACTATGTCCCTAAAGTATGTGTGTGCTACTAGGTCCCTAAAGTATGTGTGTGCTACTATGTCCCTAAAGTATGTGTGTGCTACTGGGTCCCTAAAGTATGTGTGTGCTACTGGGTCCCTAAAGTATGTGTGTGCTACTGGGTCCCTAAAGTATGTGTGTGCTACTAGGTCCCTAAAGTATGTGTGTGCTACTGGGTCCCTAAAGTATGTGTGTGCTACTGGGTCCCTAAAGTATGTGTGTGCTACTGGGTCCCTAAAGTATGTGTGTGCTACTATGTCCCTAAAGTATGTATGTGCTACTGGGTCCCTAAAGTATGTGTGTGCTACTGGGTCCCTAAAGTATGTGTGTGCTACTATGTCCCTAAAGTATGGGTGTGCTACTAGGTCCCTAAAGTATGGGTGTGCTACTAGGTCCCTAAAGTATGTGTGTGCTACTGGGTCCCTAAAGTATGTGTGTGCTACTATGTCCCTAAAGTATGTGTGTGCTACTAGGTCCCTAAAGTATGTGTGTGCTACTATGTCCCTAAAGTATGTGTGTGCTACTGGGTCCCTAAAGTATGCGTGTGCTACTGGGTCCCTAAAGTATGTGTGTGCTACTAGGTCCCTAAAGTATGTGTGTGCTACTAGGTCCCTAAAGTATATGTGTGCTACTAGGTCCCTAAAGTATGTGTGTGCTACTAGGTCCCTAAAGTATGTGTGTGCTACTAGGTCCCTAAAGTATGTGTGTGCTACTAGGTCCCATAAATATGTGTGTGCTACTAGGTCCCTAAAGTATGTGTGTGCTACTAGGTCCCTTCAGTATGTGTGTGCTACTAGGTCCCTAAAGTATGTGTGTGCTACTAGGTCCCATAAGTATGCGTCTGCTACTGGGTCCCTAAAGTATGCGTGTGCTACTATGTCCCATAAGTATGCGTGTGCTACTGGGTCCCAAAAGTATGTGTGTGCTACTAGGTCCCTAAAGTATGTGTGTGCTACTAGGTCCCTAAAGTATGTGTGTGCTACTAGGTCCCTAAAGTATGTGTGTGCTACTAGGTCCCTAAAGTATGCGTGTGCTACTAGGTCCCTAAAGTATGCGTGTGCTTCTGGGTCCCTAAAGTATATGTGTGCTACTGGGTCCCTAAAGTATGTGTGTGCTACTAGGTCCCTAAAGTATGCGTGTGCTACTGGGTCCCTAAAGTATGTGTGTGCTACTAGGTCCCTAAAGTATATGTGTGCTACTAGGTCCCTAAAGTATGTGTGTGCTACTAGGTCCCTAAAGTATATGTGTGCTACTAGGTCCCTAAAGTATGTGTGTGCTACTAGGTCCCTAAAGTATGCTTGTGCTACTAGGTCCCTAAAGTATGTGTGTGCTACTAGGTCCCATAAGTATGTGTGTGCTACTAGGTCCCTAAAGTATATGTGTGCTACTAGGTCCCTAAAGTATATGTGTGCTACTAGGTCCCTAAAGTATGTGTGTGCTACTAGGTCCCTAAAGTATATGTGTGCTACTAGGTCCCTAAAGTATGTGTGTGCTACTAGGTCCCTAAAGTATATGTGTGCTACTAGGTCCCTAAAGTATGCTTGTGCTACTAGGTCCCTAAAGTATGTGTGTGCTACTAGGTCCCTAAAGTGTGCGTGTGCTACTAGGTCCCTAAAGTGTGCGTGTGCTACTAGGTCCCTAAAGTGTGCGTGTGCTACTAGGTCCCTAAAGTGTGCGTGTGCTACTAGGTCCCTAAAGTGTGCGTGTGCTACTAGGTCCCTAAAGTGTGCGTGTGCTACTAGGTCCCTAAAGTATGCTTGTGCTAC